GGGTAACATCATATTCGTGGGAATTTGACATGAGTGTGGGTGTGTATGCATGTTGTTGAATCAAACACCATTCTTGGTGGTTGATAAGTGAGCTTGGTATATAGTCAGATCAAGGTTCGACAGAGTCGCACGGGTTGCATGAAAAACTTGTGTTAGGAGTAGCAAGCAGGGCTAGATTTTATCTCGGGTGCAAGACTCGGTTACTGGTTTATACACTTTTGCCGGTGAAAGTCCAAAAAAGTGTATCGGTGTGCGAAACTGGCGGTGAGACACCAAAATTCTGCTATCCAACAAAGACACATGGTTTATTTTAAAAGGTCATTGAATTTACAACATCAATTGCGAGGGCTTGGAATGCCCGATTTTATACTCATTGCATTACATGTGTTATGGGAGCCAGTAAGGGCTCGGGTTGAGTTTCATGTATGAGTCTCTTTTCAGATCATGGCATGACATTAAGGATTTTATTGTTGAATTGTATATTTTTAAATGGAGTGATTGCTACTTGTGAATTGCATGTGGACATTTCATATGCATCTAGGTTGGAGAATAGTTGCTTTAGGAGATATCTTATTGAGCATGCCTCACTCTATATGGGGATAATATTTCAGGTGTGGGATATACGCTGGTGAATGGCTCTCATTCGGGCCCTCATTGATTAAGAAAAGTCGAAATGTGGCTTTTAAACCATGCTTTTATAAAACTAAGATGTCAATCAGCTTTTGGGCATGTAATGAGTGTAAACGATTGTAATCGAATTCATATGAACTATGTTTAATGTAAAATTGCATGTTATATGAGTATGAATACATGGACCCGGTGTGGTCAATGTTGTATAATTGCACAAGTTGTGTTTTAGGTAGAATTTTTCATACAAAGGAGACTCTGTCCGAATTTTGTTAAGTTATGGATTCCAGTAAATGGGGTATAACGGCGTGGTATCGAGTTATACGAGTATTCTGCGGTGTTTAACAGGGTAATTACAGACATCCGGATTCTGGGGCGTCACAGTTTGGTATCAAAGCTTAGGTTCTCGATTTACCTAGGGTTTGCGAGGCATGAGTCTAGACTATTGCATCCATTGAGTATTACATGTTATGTGTTTTAAATGCTACATGTTATGTACCTTAAATGCTATGTGTTATGTTATGTGAATAATATATATGGTTAAATGTATATGGAAAAAGGGATACTAGAGTTAAAGAACATAACCTTGACGGTCAGAAAAAGAAAAGAAATAGGACAGTTCAGGGTGTAGATGTCTACTAGTAAGTGGCACACACATTACTAGTGAGACAATAAGAGAAATCTCAATGTTACGAATTTGTTCCCTACCTTGGGATACTAAGTTAGTGTTCTATTGCTATTTGAAAAGCCATTGGAGAGTTCGCCCTTAGGAGCTCGTGTATGCATTAATCAGATATGTCGGGGTTATCAACTAGAGATCTCGGGGATTCTACTCACCATGGACCTTTGGGTCATGGATATGTCAGAATTTGATGTCACTCTTGGGATGGATTGGTTGGCGACAAACCGAGTCGTCATTGATTGTGATCGGAAGAAGGTCACTTCTTGTACATTAGAGGGTGTTTGTTTCAAGTTTCAGGAGAAAAAACACGATGCTCTATCCTAAGTAGTGTATGAGTCCTGTTGGCACGGACAATTGATGGGTTGGCTAGCAAGCCTTACCTTGGACGACAAGGTGAGACAGGAGTTGGGTTTACCTCAGATGGTTTGTGAGTATAAAGATGTTTTTTTGGACGGACTATCGGGATTACCTCCACATTGGCTTGTAGACTTCACCATTGAGTTGAACTCTGGTATATCACCCATTTTTATAACTACACATAAAATGACATTTGCAAAGTTCTAAGAACTCAAGGTCCAATTGCAAGAATTGATGGACAAGGGTGTCATTAGACTGAATACCTCACCTTAGGGCACTTCAATGCTATTTGCCAAGAAAAAGGATAAAACCCTTCGGTTATGTATAGATTCTAGCAGTTGAATCAGATTACTATCAAGAATAGATACCCTTTGCTGCAGATGGATGACTTGTTTGATCAACTGAGGGGCGTGAGTCTAATACAAGATAGATCTACGCACGAGTTACCATCAATTGAGGATTAGGGGGACAGATATTCCTAAGACGGTGTTTAGGATGCGGTATGGGTATTTTGAGGTCACTGTGATACCTTTTGGATTTACGAATGCCCTGACGACATTCATGGATCTCATGCATAGGGTGTTCTAACCTTACCTAGATCAATTTGTTGTAGTCTTTGTTGATGACATCCTGGTCTACTCCAAGTTTGAGGAGGAGCATGAGGGTCACTTGAAGGTTGTTCTCTAGACCTTAAGAGACCATCCGTTGTACGACAAGTTCAACAAGTGTGAATTTTGGCTGACATAAGTAAAATTTTTGGGAGACATGGTGTTGGCTTCGGATGTATCAATTGATCCGGAGAAGGTTGAGGTGGTCATGAGTTGGGAGAGACCGAAGTCAATCTTCGAGATTCATAGTTTCTTGGGATTGACAGGGTATTAGAAGAGGTTTATTGAGGATTTATCTCGACAAGCTATACCTATGACGAGATTGATCCAGAAGGAGGTCAAGTTTTAGTGGGATGAATCATGTGAGAGGGCATTCCAAGAGTTGAAGGAGAGACTTACTTCAACTCCTATTCTGATAGTTCTGGAAAAAGGACAGAGGTACACAGTGTATTGTGATGCATCCAAGAACGGTCTTGGTTGAGTTTTGATGTATTCTAGGAGGGTGGTAGCTTATGGTTCTCGACAGTTAAAGAACCACAAGTAAAACTATCCCACACACGACATGGAATTGGCGGCCATTGTCTTTACCTTGAAAGCTTGGCGCCACTATTCACATAGTGAGTAGTTTGAGGTATTTTCGGACCACTAGAGTTTGAAATACATCTTTATGTAGCGGGACCTCAATATGAGACAATACAGATGGATGAAGTATTTGAATGACTATGACTTCACTTTGCATTATCATACAGGTAAGGCAAACGTGGCGGCTAACGCACTTAGTTGGAAGTTATAGAGAGTCTTGGCCAATGTGGCTTCTTGGGAGTGGTAGATGCTCGAGAATGTGAGATAGTTTGGGTTGCATAGCAGGGGTCAGGCTCCAGGCACTTTGGGGAGTTTGGTGGCTACGTCTTTTCTACTAAGTAGACTAATCGAACCCTAGGGGCAGGGTACAAAGATATTGCCCATCAGGGATAAGGTGCAGTCAGGTACAAGTGACGAGGGTTGGGCCATTCACGCGAATGACAATCTTCTGTTCAGGTGAAGGGTTATGATTTCACAATCTGCAGATCTGAGAGAGGAGATCCTTATGGAGTTCCATTACTCTTGTTTTGCTATGCATCCAGGTGGCACGAAGATGTATCATAATCTTCGTCGCCAGTACTATTGTAGTGAGATGAAGAGGCACATTAGAGATTTCGTTAGTGGATGTCCCACGTGTCAGCAGGTCAAGGCTGAATACCAAAGACCAACAGGATTGCTTTAGCCTTTGAAGGTGGCTAAGTGTAAGTGAGAGCACGTCACCATGGATTTTGTGACTCACTTGCCACAGACGTCATAGGGGCATGATGCAGTGTGGGTGATAGTGGATCGACTTACGAAGTTGACACTCTTTTTGGCAGTGCAGATGACCTTCATATTAGAGAAATTCTGCAGGCTATACATACGAGAGATTGTTCGATTACATTGGGTGCCCATATCTATATTATCAGATATGCATCCTAGGTTCATTGCCTATTTTTGAGAAAGTTTTCAGTAGGGCATGGGGACACAGTTGAGATGAGCACAACTTTTCATCCCCAGACAGATGGTTAGTTAGAGAAGACCATTCATACTTTAGAGGACATGCTATAAGCATGCATCTTAGATCTCAAGGGTAGCTGAAAAGAGTACTTACCCTTACTAGAGTTCACCTACAATAATAGTTATCAAATTAACATACAGATGACATCCTATGAGGCACTTTATGGGAGGCCGTGCCGTTCTCTGGTTTGTTAGACGGAGGTTGGAGAGAGTCTCTTTGTAGATCTAGATTTGTTTAGAGACACATCGGAGAAGGTAGACTTGATACAGAGGTGTCTTTTCACGGCTCAAAGCTGATAAAAGAGCTATGCCGACAGATGACGATGACCTCTAGAGTTTAGGTTGAAGATCACGTCTTTTTGAAAGTGATGCCCAAGACGTGAGTGATTAGATTTGGGAAGCGGGGAAAGCTATCGTCGAGGTATATCGGGCCCTTCAATATACTCGAGAGGGTTGATACATTTGTTTACTAGTTGGAGTTACCGCTAAATTTATCGAGTGTTCACGCAGTATTCGATGTCTCTATACTTCAGAATTACACTCCAAATCCGACACATGTAGTGAATTGGGATGAATTCACTATTGAGAAGACATGATCTCCGACCTCGAACTCTAGAGGTCGCCGTCGTCTGTCGGCATAGCTCTTCTACCGGCTCTGATACCAAGCAAGCAGGTTTTGCGGGGTAAGACTGTGAGGCTGGTAAAGGTGTTGTGGCTGCACCGTGGGGTGGAAAAGGCGACATGGGAGCGTGAGGACACTATCCGAGCTACCTATCCGTTTCTGTTCGAGAATGGATGTACATCTCTTATAGTTATAGAGTATTGAATGACTTTTTGCACATGTATGTTGTTATATGTGTATATATGCATAATTTTAGGGACAAAATTCCCTTAAGGGGGGAGAATGTAGAACCCGAAAAAAATTATTATTATTATTATTAAAAATCCTAATTAAAGGGGTAAAATAATAATTATTTGTTAAAGTATGGGTCAAAAAGGTAAATTTTTAAAACAATGAATTTATTCTATAGATATATATAAGTGAAAGACTTTAAAAAGTCTTTCACTTTCTTCTCCAGCCGGCGAGACAAAGAGAGTGAGAGAAAAGTGAGTTTTTTTATTTTATTTTTATTTTATTCTTTCTCAAATCTATGAAAATTTAACCGTTTAATCGTTTCAGACCAAGAATTAAAGTTGCTCTACTCAACGAGAGCTACACAACCACACCAAATATTGTATTTTTCTCTGAAAGAATATCAAAGACGATAATCTAGGCCTAAGACTTAGAAAACTAAATTTGGGCTTCCTTGGAGTTCTAGTAAGTGGGCTCACGCTACGAGAGGTAGGGTTTCCCCTATTTAGATTTAATTTCAACTTAAAATATGACATATGAAATGGATAGGCTATGAGTGTATATCACATATTAGGTCTTGACTAGTGTAACTAGTGGGTCAAATATATAATTTATAATTAACCTTGTAATTAATAAAATTCTATTACGATTAACTTGATGTAAGTTAATGTTAGTGGTTTAAAGCATATTAATTGTATATTAGCATTATTTTATGTTTTAATGACATATCAAGTTTAATAAAATTATTAGCTTGTTATGTGATTATGAAATAATATATGTGTTAAAAGATTATTTAACATATGACTATTTTGGTGGACTTGTGCTTATGATTATATAATTAATAAATATGTTGTCATGTTGAAAGTCATAGCATGCTAGTTGTGTAAATTGATGTGCTCTTTAGGTGTTTGATTAAATGCCAAGGTAAATACAAGTATGTTAGTTGAGTTGATTATCTTATATAACATGCTTGAGATCGTGTTAAAATGTCATTATATTGTATTCATTATGTAATGGACATTGTATTGCATTATGCATGAGTTGCACTACATTCATGGGCATTGACATAGGTGGGAGTGTATGCATGGTTTGAAATCAATCACCATATAGGTGGTTGATCGTGGGCTCAAAAAAGTCATACCAAGATTCGGCTGAGTCGCACGGGAAATTAAATGGATAAATGTGTTGGGGACAGCAAGAAGGGCTAGATTCTCCCTTGGGTGCAAGACCCGTTTACTTGATTTATACACGTTCTGGCGATGAAATTTCAGAAAAGTGTAACGGCGAAAATGGAGCTGCATGTGGGATGTCCTGAAGATTCGTTGATGGTTGGTGTCCCATTGGTGTAATACCATAAATCACCTCCCTCCCCATAAAGACACAAGAAAATAAATTAATTAGTCATTGAGTGTATATAACACCAATGAAGGGCTTGGAATGTCCGGATACATACACATGACATTGCATGTTTCTATGGGAGCTCAGGATGGGGCTCGGGGTTGGTATTTCTTGCATGAGTCTCATCTCATGGCATGACATGATTTATGACATTTGATCATAATTGACATATTTGAATGAATGCATCAAATGATTGTTGCATGTGACATTCCATATGCAATTAGGTTGAGAGGTATTCTCTATAGGAGTTACCCTATTGAGCGTTGACTCACCCTTTATGGGAACATTTTTCAGGTATCGCACAGGCGTCCACCGAAGGCGAGGCCATAAGCCCGCTTTGATGACAGAGCCGGTCTGTGACTCTTATTTTGACATTGCAGTCCCTTGTTTATTTTTACTTTTGGCTTTGTATAACTTTTGTAACAAAAACTTATTTATATTTACAAAGGCATGTATATGTGACTCTTTTGGGACATTTATTCTTTTACGAATAAATGTATGTACTGATGATAATTATGGTAGTATTCGATACTATACAATTGTGAATGGATGGATAGACCCGATGTGGTTAATATTATATAGGTTGCGTTTTGGGTAGAACTTCTCGTACAAAGGAGACTCTGCCCAAATTTTGTTAAGTTATGGATCCCGAGAAATGGGGCATAACGGTGTGATATCGAATTACACGGTATCCACAAGTATTTCGCATTTCGATGGATGATCAATCGGATAATCACAACCACCTGAATTTTGGGGTGTCACAACTGTGACGGCCGAGGAAGATGTCTGAGCGCGATATATTGCGGTATGCATAGTTTGACATAGTTGTATATACTTTTTAGGCTAGTTATTTATTACTAGCCTTAATGATAATTTTTTTTAAGCGAATCTGCAAGTGAAAGCTTTTCGCACGAAAGGGTGTGAGCACTTCAACTTTTTGGGACTTATCTTTGGAAAATCAACAACCACATGCCGTTTAGTCGATGCTTCGACCCAAGTCTCACCAAATTCAAATGAGGAGAGAGAGTTGGATGAGGAGTTCATCACTTGTCAAAAAAGATCATCTGCTAGTCTTGACGGTGATCTTGAAGGTCCATTTCCCTTTCCACGTAAAAAAATTGGAAGTAGTTCAAGAGATAAGAAGGAGAGTAAGAGTTCAAAGATGAACAATACTATGGATGCATGGGCTGCATTCTCACTTGCTAGGATGGAGAAATACAAGCATACTTGTCCTGTGAACATTGTGAATGATGCTTACAAAATTAACACTTGCATGGATGTGTTAGAGGGTATGGAGGGTGTTGGATCCCAATAATATTTTCGTGCTTGTGCAAAGTTCAAGGACCCTGAGTGGCATTAAATGTTTATTAAGATGTCTGCACAACGTAAGAAGGAGTGGCTTGACACACTAGATTAAGTTTAATGATGTTTGGTTAGTTATGTATGAAATTATTTGGGCATGGATGTCCAAAGTTGACTTAACTTTTTGTGTGTTTCTACCTAGACAATTTGGGCATGTAACTGTTGGACAATTATTATGGAACAATATTAGTAATATTGGCGTATGATGTGGTGCATGGGCTACATGTTTTATTTTGTATGTTTTGAATATGTAACGTTGGGAAATGTCTATTATTCAAGTGGTATGGTGTTGAAAATGTTTAGTGGTATGATGTTGCATGATGATGTGGATCATTATCCTATGACTGTTTTCGTATTTATGCACTGTAATCATGAGTTTGTATTATGTTTGTAGTTACAATGGAAAATACAACTGCCCAATCAAGTGATGACTCACTAAGCTCATCAAGCAGTGTAGATGACGAATTGGATGATATGTTTTTTGTCAATATAATGTGCCCATATGCTAACAACTATTTGTTCAAAACACCATGCATGACATCTAAATTAACTGGCCATGAATGGGTTATGGAATTGTTGAATAGAAATCTGTCACACATATATAATTGTCTATGGATGGATGCTGATACGTTCCTTGTATTGTGTAAAACACTGCGCGATGGCAGTCACATACAAGAGGACTACCACAATCATTTGACAACTGAGGAGTCCGTGGCTATTTTCTTACTCACAGTTTCACATAGAGTTAGGCAAAGACTTGTTGCTGAGATGTTTTAACACTCAACTAAAACTATCAATCGCCAATTCAAGAAGGTTATGTGTGCATTAGCTAGTCTAGGGGTGTCAATAATTCGGCCACAACTTCCATGCGAAACTCCACCTAAGATATTATATGATGAACGATACTATCCATGGTTTAAGGTAACATCTACTAAACATGTTACATATATTTTATTGTACTACTAAAAACACATTTTATAAATGTAGGATTGTATTGATGCAATTGATTGTATTCATGTAGCTGCATGGACCCCTGCTTCTAAGCATGAGACATACCGTGGTCGAAAAACAACAATTACCCAAATGTGATAACAACTTGTTCTTTTGACATGAGGTTTGTATTTTTCATGCCTGTTTGGGAAGGTAGTGCACATGATTCACGTGTTTTTATGGATGCTATAACAAAGGGTNATGGTTGAAAAACAACAATTACCCAAATGTGATAACAACTTGTTCTTTTGACATGAGATTTGTATTTTTCATGCCTGTTTGGGAAGGTAGTGCACATGATTCACGTGTTTTTATGGATGCTATAACAAAGGGTGAAATCAACTTTCCTATGCCGCCAGAAGGTTGGTGTATAGAATGATTTAATTCCTATAATCAAAACTATGACGTTAAGTATCTAATGTTGACAATGTGTTTTTGGATTAGGGATGTACTACGTTGCAGATGCCAGTTACACAAACATGCCTGGATATCTCTCGCCATATCGTGGCAAGAGATATCACATTCCTGATTGTAGTGGTAACAGACATGCACCACGTGGACCAAGAAAGCTATTTAACTATCGACATTCTTTCTTGAGAAATATTATTGAGAGATGTTTTGGCGAGTTGAAAACAATATTTCCTATTTTAAATATAATGCCAAAATACAAACCTGCACGCCAACCAACCATTGTAATAGCATGTTGTGCAGTTCATAGTTTTGTTCACATGTATTCAGCTTGTGACATTTACTTTCAACGATTTCTAAATGAAGACGTCCCTTTAGATAATGAAACAGAGTTCTAACCATCATTGATTAACTGAATTGGACATTTCATCATCACAACTCAATGCNTATGTATTCAGCTTGTGACATTTACTTTCAACGATTTCTAAATGAAGACGTCCCTTTAGATAATGAAACAGAGTTCTAACCATCATTGATTAACTGAATTGGACATTTCATCATCACAACTCAATGCTATGTCGCACTTGAGGGATACAATGGTTGCGAGTATGTGAGCTACTGTTTCTCATGGTGGTTGAACTTTTATGTTGTTTAAGATTTATTACTAGTACACTGTCATTATGTAATATTAAAAATATTAAAGTGTTATTACTAGTACATGGATGCTATAAAATATTTTTTGTATTATGTTGGATATCATATGTATGTGTGATGACATAAATTATATGAGTTGCGTTTCATTTATGCACACAGGTCCTTTATGCATATGTGGTGCTGGCCACATAAGGGTTTTCAGAGTTCGTACAATGAAAAATGATGGTCGTTAATTTTATAGGTGTTAATTTGGTAGAGACTAGAGTGATTAGCTCTGTCATTGTAATATAAGGTGGAGCTTGTATGTACAAACAATGGTCTGTGTTATATTATAATTTGTAATATAATGTTATGCCAGTAAAACATTCAATCCAAACATCATCTCTATTTTTATTACTTTTTGCCCTACTGCCCAGACATGTTTTTTGTCTATTGTTCTCCAAAACAGTTTTTAGAATTATATAATCAAACAAGTTCTGCAATATGAAAAACACTAAAAACAATTTTCAAAAATTTGACTTCGAAAACTGTTTTTAGATATTATTTTTTGAGATGAAAACCAAACATTATTTTCTATAACCTTTCTTCCACTCTCTTTTCAATCATTTTGAAGCATCCGCCAACTACTCAATCAATTCAAGGGATAAAAGAATTGAAAAGAAATGCCACGAATTAATTATTAAACAGANAAGCATCCGCCAACTACTCAATCAATTCAAGGGATAAAAGAATTGAAAAGAAATGCCACGAATTAATTATTAAACAGAAAATAAAAGAGGTTTATATTGGTACCAAAAATAATAATAATAATAATTTAAATGCTTGGAAGGAAAAAATTGAAAGAACAATCGATTGTGAAATAAGGCTAAGATTTGGCCAAATTCTCTTTCCTCTGAATTCCAATTACATTTTCCACAGGATTACCATTTCCCTCAATGTATATGGTGGACACGGCAATGACATGAAACCAAAAGGACCTATAGATTTAGAAGTATGCATGAGTTGGANTCTGAATTCCAATTACATTTTCCACAGGATTACCATTTCCCTCAATGTATATGGTGGACACGGCAATGACATGAAACCAAAAGGACCTATAGATTTAGAAGTATGCATGAGTTGGAACATCCAGAAGTCAAGGGATCTCAATTTCTATCTACTTGAACATTGCTCCACTTTCAATTCAAAGGTAAAATAATCTCATGCAATCTGTCCGATCCCTCTCTCTCTCTCTCTCTCTCCATGTAACAGCCACCCCGGGGGAAAGGGGGGGATGGGATGGTATCTATCAGTATTACAGGTGAGGCTGATTTTGTTCTGTCATCTTTTGTTCCAGAAAGCTGCAGGTGAAGATACTCCACTACCACATAGAACCAAAAGCTGGTTCATTCGTTCTTGACAGCAAAATAAATGTGGTGAACAAAGACCAAGGAAGCACGAAAACTGATTGTACCGAGCATCAGGAAGACTGCATAGCACAAGCAAGCATTGTAACCAAAAAAGAAGGATAGCTGCATGAAACCACTCATATTTGATTTGGCATAGAAGTAGATGCAATGCACAAACATAAAAATTGCTGTCGAGCCACCACGTAAAACGGATCTGCGTCAAACAGATAAGTAATCCATAAGGTAGAGCAACCATGCAAAAGACTTATCAAATAATAATAGTACTAATAAACAAAACAAAAATAATATAGTGACAATGAGATAATGCAAGGCACAATCCAAAGTAAGTAATCACCTATTGAAGTCATTAATTTTGAACAGAAGTGCAGTTTTTTTCCTTTTTTGGATCAGAGATATTACCGCATTGGAAAATAAAAATAGATGCCTAATTTTTCCATTGTTTGTGTGCATGCTCAAGCACATAGAAACCAGTGAAATTTCTAAATTATCAAAAAACCAGCAAGGCAACACCCTTACCGGGCTCAAGACCTGGGTTTGAAACTCATCCTCCTCCTCCAATACAAAAACTGTAGTATTTGCCTTTATATGGAAAAAAAGGGACAAATACTTGGATACAGCTCCAAATAAAAAGGCTAAAGTCTTCAGTAATCTAAGGGTGATACCACTAGTGTGAACATGCATTTGCCTAGAATAAAGCATTAATCTTGATCCCATCTGGTCTAAAGACGATCAATACTAGGAGATAAATCTGGTAAACTCGAACTATTGATTGTTCATAGCACCGTCTGCAAAGTTGTCAACCATTTGTTTTCGATGTTTGAGAGCCAACTAGAACCTGGGTCTAAAGTATGACCTGGTGAGAAAGATGCAGTGCCATAGTTATTTCAAAGTACATCCATTTTTGATTTGATTTGTACACAAGACTGACACCCTGAAGTAGTACTCAAATCATGTGGCTGTGCGACGCATGGGATTCGCAACCAACATCTTTGATCATGTGCCCCCCCCTCCCAGTCCCTCATCTTCCATGCCAACCCATTTAATCGGTCTGTTAGTGATAGAGGAAGAAGAGCATATGAAGATGGGAGTTCAAAATTGCAAATTTGCAATGGGCATCATCAACAGGATCACATAAAAACAGTGTAAAGTTTACTGAATCAATTAAGAAAATTGACAATTAGGGACCAAATTGACAATATCCATTAACCTTGCAGGCTAATGGTGTAATTTGCCTTAAATAATATTATAATATATGCAGAACGTTTACCGGTAGTCCAGTAGACACATGCATATCTATTATATTTGCAATAACTCTTCAGGGGGACATACCTCCACCACCATTCATGGTCTTCCACGGTTAGCTGAAAGTATGTCAAACCAACACTCAAGAGTGCAGTGAGTATGATAAGGATGATGAAATTGATAAGCAAAATGCTAGGAAGAATATAGATTTTATAGCCCCACATGCTTGCATACAAGTGATGTAGCTCAA